AGTAGGTGCCCTGGCTCTGGGGCCTCCTGGGAGGTGCAAAGTCAGCCACTGCCTGGGGCCACTCAGCAGGAGCTACCAAGAGATCTGCAGATGGTTGACTGTGAAGACCAGCTGGGTGCCCATATGACTGTCAGCTGATTTCTCAACAGAAACTTTGCAGGCCAGAAGGAAGTGGCAAGAAATATTCAAAGTGATGAATAGTAAGGACCTACAACCAAGATTACCCTACCCAGCAAAGCTATCATTTAGAATTGAAGGTCAGATAAAGAGCTTCAATTCAATCTAAAAATCAAACAAAAGGAACAAGAAATCTAATGAACAAAATAAACTGATGAATAAAATAGAATCAGAGCCGTAGAAACATGGAACCTACTGATGAATCTCAGAGGGAAGAGGGCTGGGGGAGAGCAGGAAGAGATTAACCAAAGATTTTATATGCATATATGCTTTATCTATGGATACAGACAACAGAGTGGTGAAGGCCAGGGCAGAGCAGGAACTGGGTGGAAGGGGGCAATGGTGGGAAAAAAAGGGGACATCTGAAATAATATTAAAGATTTTTTTTTAAAAAGCAGCCAGGTGAAGACTGGTGGGAGGGGCAGAGATGGAACTGGTTGGTGTATGTGAAATACAGAATTTATTCTTGTATTATTTATTTATTATTGTATTAATTACTTTAGCCTACCTCTGTATGTAAAGGATTATACACCATATACAAATAGAACTTATCCTAGGAATACAAGGTTTGTTCAACATCAACGTAATACACTATGTTATAGAATAAGAGACAAAATCCACATGATCATCTCAATAGACTGGAAAGAAAAACATTTGTCAAAATCTAACACACCTCATAGTTAGAAAAGAACAATTACCTAAACACCTGATAAAGGTAATCTGTGAAAATTCCATACCTAAAATCATACCTTATGATGAAGGACTGAGTGCTTTCTCCCTACAATCAGGAATGAGACAAGAATGTCTGCTCTCATCCCTTAGCTTCATTTATTTATGTATTTATTTATTTATTATTTATTTCAGTTTTGTGTTGGAGATTCTTGTTAGGGCAATTAGGTAAGAAAAAGAAATAGCCATCAATTGGAAGGGAAGAAGTAAAGATTTCTATTTATAGATCACATGATCATGTATGTAGAAAACCCTAAGGAATTCACTAAAAATACTTTTAGAACTAATAAATGTTTTCAGGAAGGTTGCAGTGTACACGATCAATATATTAAAAGCAATTTTACTTCTATACACTAGCAGTGAACAATCTGAAAGTGAAATTAAATTTTATTTCAATAGTTTCAAAAAGGATAAAATTCTTCGGAATAAATACATTTTTTAAAAAAAATTCGAAACTTGTACTCTAAAAAGCATAAAACGTTGTTGAAAGTTTTTTTTTATTTTAAAATATTAACAAATACTTTAAATTGACTTCAGAGAGGAAGGGAGAGGGAGAGAGAGATAGAAGTATCTTTGATGAAAGAAAATCATCCATCAGCTGCCTTCTTCACTCCCCACAGTGGGAACTGAGCCCACAACCCAGGTATGTGCCCGACCGGGAATTGACCCGTGACCTCCTGGTTCATAGATCCATGTTCAACCACTAAGCCACACTGGCTGGGCCACTTTGGTGTCTTTGATGTTGAACTTATTGAAGTCTGTGTGGTCGGAGTCATTGTCCAATATCAAAAGAACTTTAAAAGGCAGTCTCGTACTGGCAAGGTACTTCCTTCAGGAAAAGCATTGATAGAACCTATCCAGAAAAAGGGTTCTCTTCCAGGCCGTCTGTTGTACAACCAAACACTGGAAGCTGGTTTTTATCTTTTCCCTTCAAGGCTCAGGGGTGAGCAGCTTTATAGAGAAGGCAGTCCTGATTATAAACGCTATTGCATTTGCACAAAACAGTAGAGTTAGCTTATCTCTTCCTTTCTTAGATCCTGATGTTTGTTTTTCTTCCCTACTAATAAATGTCTTTTTTGGCATCCCCTCGGCCCACCTCCCTATAATAGGACACCTTTGTCTGCATTAAAAACTTGTGATGTAGACACCCTTTCTCTTCATTGATTTTCTTTTTTGTTCTTCTCAATAACTTTCTTAATGGCATCTGGGAACTGGTCTGCTGCTTCTTGGTTAGCTGAAGCTCCTGTTATCTTGACATTTTAAAAATCAAACCTCTTTCTAAAATTATCAAACCATCCTTTCCTGCCATTAAATTCTCCAGCTTTAGATCCTTCACCTTCCTTTTGCTTTAAGTTGTCATATAATGACTTTGCTTTTTCTCGAATGGAGTCTATAGGTATGTCTTTCTAGTAGCTATCTTGCCCCAACATAAAAGCTACATTTTCAATACAAGATCAAAAGGTATTTCACAAAAAGTGCAAGGTTTTTGTGCCTGCTGGTGTAACTGCAGCAGTGGGTTCACAAATTTCATTCCCTACCCCCCCCCCCCTTTTTGTACAAGGGTCCTTATGCTGGATTCATTTATCTTGAAATGGTGAGCAACTTCAGCGCCCCCCTTTTTGTACAAGGGTCCTTATACTGGATTCATTTATCTTGAAATGGTGAGCAACTTCAGCAATTCAGCTTTTTCTTGTAATATGACTTTACTTCTTGGGAGTACTTCTAGAATCACTAGTGGCACTTTGTTTGGGTCTTATGATGATAGTCAAGATTTATGGTATTATACTGACCACGATGAAAAATATATGAGATCCTTGATAGATCTCTTTTAATTGCAATATGCAATTTATTGGAGAGACGAACTGCTTACATGGCAATGATTACTATCGTGGTATTTTAAGCAGATTCTCACAACACGAGCTCACCACTTATAGCAGTAGGAGGTAACTACAAAATTATTATAGTAGTACAGTATGTACTACAGTTAATTTTATGCAGTTATGATTTAATATATATTTACATTTTTTATTTCTCTCAACTGAATGGTGTGTATAGTCTGGTTTGTGTGCTTAAATTTTGATAAATTTTAACTGTGTAATAGATTTGTATATATTTTGTGGCAGTAAATTACAAAATAAATTAGTTTCTACATATATTTTTTACATTCATGACATACCAAACTTTTTTTTCAATATTTCAAGGCACCACAATTTGTGAGTTTTTCAAATTGTCACAAATCTCCCTGCATATAAGTGAACCTGCACAGTTCAAACCTGTGTTATTCAAGGGTTAGCTGTAACGTAAAACTTTATTACTTTGGATTAGACAAAGCTTTTAAAATATGACACCCAAAGCACAAACAGCAAAAGAAAAATAGCCAAATTGGACTTTATTAAAATTAAAAATTTTTATTTAACCATCAAGATAGTTAAAAGATAACCCTTAAAATTTAAGAGACTTCTATTTAGAAAACAAAAAATCCTTACAACTCAATAACAAAAAGACAACCCAGTTAAAAATGGACAAAGGATCTGAATAGACTTTCTTAATAGACATTTCTATGAAGAAGATATACAAATGGCCAATAAGCACATAAAATGATGCTTAACATCATTAGTTATTAAAGAAAGGCAAGTCATAACCACAATGAGATACTACTTCATACCAACTAGTATGGCTTTAGTAAAAAAATACAATAAAAGTATTGGCAAGGGTGTAGGGAAATCAGCATCCTCATTCATTGTAGGTGGGAATGTAAAATGGTTCAAAACTTGAAAACTTTTTAAAACAGTTTGATAGTTCCACAAATTACTAAATGTGGAGTTATCACATAACCCAGTAATCCCACTCTTAGATATATCTATGGAAGAAAAAGGAAAACATGTCCACACAAAAAGTTGTAATTGAATGTTCTCATAGCATTATTCATAAGAACCAAAAATTAGACACAACCCAAAATGCCCATTTACTGATGATTAGGTAAACAATATTTATTCATTAATTAAAAAAAGAATGAAGTACTGATACATCCTAAAACATGAATGAACTTTGAGAACATTAAGTGTACGAAACCAGTCACAAAAGATTACATATGTATTATTCTACTTATGTGAATGTCCGGAATAGGCAAAATTATAGGAACAGAAAGTAGATTAGTGCTTGCCTAGGTCTGAGAGGGAAAGGAGAATTTGGTAGTGATGTCTAAAGAGTACTGAGTTCCTTTCCTAGGTGATAAAAATGTTCTAACAAGGATTGTGCTGATGGCTGTACAATTCTGTGAACATACTATAAACCAGTAAGTTTTAGACTTTAAATAGGTGAATCCTATGGGATATAAATTATATCTAGGGAAAGCTTTTATAAGATCTACCTACCTTTCCAGGAAGATGTATATCATTTGTTCTCTAGTTTAAGTTCAAGGCCCCCTTCCTTTACAAAGTTTTTGCTGATTAATAGCAATTTATTTGATTATTCCTATTCTAATTATACACTGGTCATTTATCTTACTACTTCTGTTGGTTATGTTTGCCTCTCGTATTTATTAGTCATTGTATGTTTGTGTGTAGAGATTATGTTTTAATGTCCATTACCAATATTAACTATCTCAATGCTATACTGATGGATAACCTGTAAATCCAAATCCTCATTGATTATTTAGTGATTCCTATTTTTAAGGAAACTATTAAGATGATTGCTATTCCTTTTATTTAGTGTGATTCAAATGTATAGTGGTTATGAAGTTATGCTTTGTATGGGTTAGAAAACATAATTTACATATTTTAGAAAAGGATATGCATAAATTTTTCAAAGTCCTGCAAATATATACCTATTAATAAGAAAATACTTGTAAGTAACTGTGCTGAGCTCTAGTAAGACACAGAAAATTATTGCAAATATACATTTTAAAAATGATCTTACAGTCTAATGGAGTGGAGGAATGATTTCAGAGGCAAATGTGAGAAGTTTAGGATCAGACAAATTAAGCACTTAAAATGAATTCTGGGGCGTGGAAGACTGGGCCATAGTTGTTCAGAAAATGTTTATGGAGGAATGAGATGTTCAGATAGGCTTCTTAAAAAATTCTTGTTTTTTAGGTACTAAAGTCAAAACATGAACAATGATATATATTACCAATGTTCAAAGCTGATTTGGCTAGAACTGGAATATAGTTGCCTACTACATATTCCAAAGGATTTAACAAAGTCAAAGTAATGGATAACAGAAAAGATCCTCCATTCTTCAATGAAGATAATGTGGGACCATTTTACTACAAACTTCTTTTCTATACCATGGAGCTCTTCATTGAAACATTGACTGGGACATGTTTTGAACTGAGAGTTTCACCATTGGAAGCTGTTATTTCTGTGAAAGCAAAAATTCAAAGACTGGAAGGTACTCATCTTTCTTTTTTCTTTCTTTAATTTTTAGGATATGAGGATTATATTTGTTCATCAAGAGTGTATAAATAACTTTAACTTTTCTTCCAGAGAAAATGTCAAACATACATGGAATTAGAAAGTATAGGATAATGAACCCCCATATGGCCCTTACTCAGCTTCAACAGTTATCAACTCATGAGCTATCTCATTACCATTTCTGCATTCCTCCACCTCAGTCCCCTTCTACCCAGTTTTTTTTTTTTGAAGCAAATCCGTGGTATCATGTTAGTGGTGTGAAATAATATTTTAAAAATAGTTTTTCAACAGGTTATGATGACATGCAAATTCTTCCATAACTACCCTACAGTTACTTTTTAAATTTTTTTTTATTGTTTAAAGTATTACATATGTCTCCTTTTCCCCCCATCGACCCAGCCCTGACCACTCCCACCCCCCAGGACAAGCCCCCACTGCCCCAGTGTCCGGATCCATTGGTTATGCTAATATGCATGCATACAAGTCCTTTGGTTGATCTCTTACCCCTCCCTCCCTTCCCTCCCCTGCCTTCCCTCTGAGGTTTGACGGTCCATTTGGTGTTTCTTTTCTTTCTTTTTTTAGTATATTTTATTGGTTTATTAACAGAGAGAAAGGGAGAGGGATAGAGAGTTAGAAACCTTGATGAGAGAGAAACATCAATCAGGCTGCCTCCTGCACACCCCCTACTGAAGATGTACCAGCAACCAAGGTACATGGCCTTGACCGGAATCGAACCTGGGACCCTTCAGTCCGCAGGCCGACGCTCTATCCACTGAGCCAAACCGGTTAGGGCTCAAGGAAACATTTTATACACATAAACAGAGAGAGGGAGAATCTAAAGGAGGGAAGGCAAATGGGATAACACAAATGTTGCAAAATATGAACAACTGGTAAACCTCGGTCACTGTTTTTCAACCTCCTCACTGTTGACATAGGGGCCAATCTCCCTCTGTAGTGGGCGCTGCTGTGCACTCTGAGACCAGCAGCAGCACCCCTGACCTCTGCCCACTAGGTGCCAGTAGCACCCCACCACCCCCAGTTGTAACCACCAGAAATGTGTCCAGACGTTGCCAACGGTCCACTGGGGGGCAAAACCTCTCCTTTTTGAGAAATACTGCTCTAGGTGAAGAGGACAGGAATGGTAGTTGTACACGCCTTTCAACTCTTCTATATGATTCTTAAAGTGAGAAGTCAAGGAAACGAACAGTCTTGGTTGGGAGTGTGAGCTTGCCATGAGAGGAGAGCTATTTCCGGCTAAGGGAACCTTGACCTGGAAAATGAAAATGACTTGATACCAAGGGTTAATTTAGTATCGGTAAGGTTTAGATGAATGGCGATTTGGTTTTCAGAGAAACAGAGGCAATGCTGAAGCAGTGAGTTCCTGTTGACCTCCGTATTACCTTATGGCAGTGGTTCTCAATTTTGGCTGCACATTAGAATCACCTGGGAATCTTTTT